GGGGGGGGCTGGGCCGGCTGGGTGCGTGGGCGTGGGCCCCAAAAACAGAGCTGACCTGCAGGCATCCGCGGAGTACGGGGGAGCGCGCCAGGGCGTCAGCCTTGGCACGCAGCTGCCCGTCGAAGCCGCCGGCGAGGACGGCTTCGTAGTCCGCGCGGGGCAGCACCAGCAGGGCGGCGTCCTCCAGCGCGGCTATGGTGCCCTCCAGGGCCTGCTGGCGGGGGCGTACGCATGAGCGGGCAAGGGGACGAGCAGCTGATCAAAGCTTGGTCATTCGTTTTGGCACGTGCTACGAAGTAAAGTTGCCAAATCCCCGCCTCAAACCAAGCACAGGTTGTGGTCTGAACCAGCGCCGTGCCGTTGTGGTGTCCGTTGTGGGCAAGGCGCCCAGACGAGCACGCAGCAGCGCGCCCCATCTGCCCTGAAAGCTCCAAGAACAACCCGCAAGCATCCAATCTACGCAACCAGCGCCGCCGCTCACCTTTTCATCGAGCAGCGACGCCTCCCCGAAGCAGCCGCCCTGCCGGAATTCTCGCCGCCACAGCTCCAAGGTTGCTTCCTCCACACCGGCGCCGCGCCCGCCCGCCCGCTTGTCGCCACCGGCTGTTTCTGCATCCTCGCTCCTGCTGCCGAGCTCGACGCGCGTCCAGTCAGACTCAACTTCGCCGCCCATGCCCAGCTTGCTGGTCAAGATCAGCTTGAAGGCGTCAAAATCCAGCTCACCTGCCATACATCACAGTGAAACACCCAGCATGACCAGACTCATCAGCCGCGCAAGGGATCGCTGCTGCCCCTGCCCGCATCCAAGAGCGCATCACACGCTTCTGCCCAGAGCGCGAGCGGGCGGCCCTTCACGCTGTTGCTCGCGAGGCCCTATGATGACAAATCCGCCCTGGTCCGCCCTGCTGGCGCACTATGTGAGCTGCATCGCCCCCCACTACCCCAACCACCGCACCTGACCCGTCCTCGTCAACACCAGCCATGAGCTCCGCCACCTCGGCCTCGCTCTTGTGCACACCCATGCTGGCCAGGGCCCCCTGCAGCTCCTCCGCGTCGATGGCGCCTTTTCGGGGGGGAGGGTATTGGGCGGGTGGTTTGGGCCGCTGGATGTCTGTGTGCACGGGTCGACAGGATCATGGAGTCGCATTGATCAAGGGGTTTAGGCGCTAGCTGGGTGATTGGAAGCGGTGTGTTGGAGGTGTAAGGCGCATGCGGATACTTGAGGCTGGAGGGTCGGGTCGCTGAGGGTTTGGGTGGAGAAGAGCAGGGTCCCTGCACAAGCGCTTGTGCGGCGGGCGCCTGCCGTGCATCGCATGCAAATGTGTTGGCGGCGCGGACACGGGCTGCGCACACAGCCATGTGTACAGAGGTGCCAACTCAAAGCGGCGCTGCATACAAACGCACCCGAGCCGTCCACATCAATTGATGCAAACAGCGCCCGCAGCTCTCCCTCGCTGGCCTTTGGCGGGGCCTGCTTCGAGGAAGCTGCCGTGCCGGCACCCGCGCTGCCGCCCCCGCTGTCTGGGGCCGCCTCGTCCGCTGCTCCCCCATCAGCCGCGGCGTCTTGCGGTTGCGGCGAGGCCCCAGCAGTGGGGGCGTCAGCGCTGGCACCGCCGGCGCCGGCCGCTGGCTGCAGAGTGGCGGGTGCTGCGTCAAACAC